ACCAAAATGTCTTAATTTTTATCACTTATCCAGGTCATCCTCTAAGTCCAAACAAGGTGGCATCTTTAGGGCTTGTATTTCAAAGTAGCAGCCAAATAGAATTCTTGTAGAAAGGAAAGAAGAAAAAAAAAAAAAAGAAAGAAAGAAAGAAAAAGAAAAAAAAGAGAGGAAATTAAAACCACAGTATTATAAAGAAATTAGGGCAAAAAATACAAACACTGTAGGTTATAAAGTCAATATGGAAGCTCTAGAAATTAATAAATCAGAATTTTCATTAGAAATCTTAAAACATGCCCTATCACTCATATAGAATGTAGAAGCAAAACTCAGGAACCCAAACCAGCTTCATATAAAATCACAGAACTGGAAACTCTGGCTTTCTAGCACTCTCTAGACTTTCATTCCTAAACTTGCCAAATTAAACAAGGAAACTGCCTACAGATATTTGGAGCCAAATATTTTCCTTTGCATAAGTTCTAAAAGATTTGTTTATTTTGTGTGTATGGTGTTTTGCTTGCATTTATATATGTACACCAGATGTGTGCCTGGTGTCTATAGAGGCCAGAAGACAGCGCTGGATCCCTTGGAACTGGAGTTACAGACAGTTGTAAGCGATCACATGGGTGCTGGGAACTAAACCCAGGTCCTCTGGAAGAGCAGCCAGAGCTCTTAACTACCGAGCATCTGCCCAGCCCCACAGAGTTATTTTCTATTCACATTGAATACAAGACTCATATCATCTAACAGAGTATCAAATTTATTTTTAAACTCCATAAAGTATTTTTTCCTATTTTATTCACAATATCATAGTTTTAATTAAAATTTTAGTTTAAATTCTAAAGCATTCTTTATGGCAAACATACAAATTATACATGGAAATTTTATTATTTTGGCATACTTCAGAAAAAAATTACCTATCTTAACAAGATAGTATTAGACTACAAAATATTTAACTTGGGCGCTATAACCTTGTTATTGCCACATACTGATGAAAACCTTTAAAACATCTACTTGTGTGTATGCACACATGTATACAAGTATCACTGTGCAGAGAGCAGAGGACAACTTGTGAGAATCAGCTCTGCTCTTCTACCATCCTGGGGACTGAACTTAGGTCATCAGGCTGGGTGGCCAAGTGTCTCTACCCTCAGAAACCATCTTGCCAGCTCAATACTGATTTTATAATCTTGAAATTTTAGATGGATATGTACTAGTAGTTAGTTAATAAGTAACAAAAACTATTGTTTAATGGCTTCTTTTATTCAAGAAAAAGGTACTTTTAAGACCATAAGGAAAAATCTCAATACATCTAAGCAACAATAAAGTACTCAAATACTCTAGCAACAGTACACTAAAATGACTAACTCAAAGTAAAACCAGCAGACAGAAATCTTTCTATCTTAAAAGAACAGCAAAACTATGGACTCAGGTTAAGAAAAAAATATCAAGCACAAATTCAAAATTTTTAGAAAACTATAAATCAATACTACATATAGGAATCAAAGAATATAGGCAAGTTAGTGAGGAAGAAAAATCATAGTTATAAAATATCTACATGAGGGATAAGGGGAAATAATAAATGACTTAAATAGCTGACTCAAAGTTAGAAAAAAATCATTACAATGAGCTAAGGAGCTAATAGGGAGCAAAATGAATATATCAATGAAACGGAACTCAATTAGAAAATAAAGAAGAGGGCTGGAGAGATGGCTCAGAGGTTAAGAGCACTGGCTGCACTTCCAGAGGTCCTGAGTTCAATTCCCAGCAACCACATGGTGGCTCACAACCATCTGTAATGAAATATGACATGCAGGCAGAACACTGTATACTAAATAAATAAATAAATAAATCTTTAAAAAAAAAAAAAAGAAAAGAAAAGAAAAGAAAGAAGAACAGATGCCGGGAGGTGGTGGCACAAGCCTTTAATCCCAGCACTTGGGAGGCAGAAGCAAGTGGATCTTTGTGAGTTCGAGGCCAGTCTGGGCTACAGAGTGAGTTCCAGGAAAGACGCAAAGCTACACAGAGAAACCCTGGGGGGCGGGGAGATAGAGAAGAACAGACATCGATGGGACACATCTGCAATCAGTCCAAAGGAGGCAGAGGCAGGAGTGGCTCAAATTAAAGGCCATTCTAGACTATATATCAAGACCCTGTCTCACAAAACTCAAGAAGGAAACCAGGCGGAGGTAGTGGCACACACCTTTAATCCCAGCACTCAGGAGGCAAAGGCAGGTAGATTGCAGGTAGATCTCTATGAGTTCAAGGCCAGTCTGGTCTACAAAGTGAGTTCCAGGACAGCCAGGACTACATACAGAGAAACCCTTGTCTTGAAAAACAAAACAAACCAACCAACCAACCTCAGGAAGGGACAGACCCAGCTGCTCAAGCTGGAAATCTCAGCACTAGGGAGGGGAGGGAGAACTCGGGCTGGAAAATCAAGAGTTCAAGGCCAGCCTTGAACAAAGAGAGTCTGAAGCCTTCATTGCATGAGATTCTATCCCAAGTAAATAAAATAAAACAAAAATAAATAGATAAATTAACAGTTTTTAAAAATGGGAGTCAGGTAGTTACTCTACAGCCAACTCTGACCTTGCATTCGTGGCAATCCTCTGGTCTCACCTTCTTAGGTGCTGTGATGACAGGCAGGGGATGTCAAGCCCAGCTTAGATATTTTTATATTAGGAGAATATTTTTTAAAATAGTTATATAACTAGTTGATTTAAGAAAGTAAAGAAAGAGAACAACAAGCTGGGTGGTGGTGGCACACAACTTTAATCCTAGCACTTGGATTAATAAAGCACTGAGGCGGGTGGATCTCTGTGAGTTTGAGGTCAGCCTGGTCTACATAGTAAGTTCTAGGACAGCCAGGGCTACACAGAGAAACCCTGTCTTGAAAATAAAGAATAAAAAAATTTAAAAAAAAAAGGGAAAGCACAAACAAGACATAGAAGTTGAAAAGGATTGATGATTACTTTTGTCGGGGGGGGGGGGGGGGGGGGGGGGGGGCGGTTCTCTGCATAGCCCTGACTATTCTGAAACTCACTATGCAAACCAGGCTGATTTTGAACTCAGAAATTCACCTGTAAAAGCATTCACCATTACGCCAGCTAGAGCACAACAGAAAGGTCCTTGTGCCCAAAGATCTCCAGGGAGACCAGGAATGTTAAGTACATGGGATTGTCTTTTCAATGGGAAAGAGGTAAACCTATTTTTTCCATCTAGAAAGTGTTAATAGCCTGGTAATCTGCATTATCTGTTGGGCCAGGTCATATCAACTCCTCCTGGACTGGAGTTGGCTAGTAATCTAAATAACCTTCACAGTTAGGGGCTCCCCAAGTTTCCAGTCAGGACCAGAGACACCAAGTAGTCGAAATGACCCTTATATTATCAGCATAGCCAGGGGCTCCCCCAAGCTCCCACAACCAGGACCAGGTGGTTAATAGCCTAAGTGACCTCTGTTATCTGTATGACTAAAAGGAGGCCAGACCCTTAGGCTAATACAGACAGGTAGCCTATCTCTAGAACCCATCTTCTTGGAAGAAATGACATATACCCAGAGTTGAGTTTCGATGTAATTATGCTTCCTTGTACACCAGGGATTGATTGAATTACACCAGGAAACATTCCTCCAAATTATACTCTGTTTAAATTTGTTGGGAATAAACTATATCTGGTGTTGTATGATATTTTATTTTGTGTTCTGACAAATAATGCTTGCCTGGAGATCAGAGGGCCAAGCCAGCCACTAGGTAACCTTTGAGGCCAGGGGGTGGTGGCTCACAGCTTTAATCCCAGCATTTGGGAGGCTCACACCTTTAATCCCAGCACAATTGGGAAGTAGAAACAGGAATATAAGGCGAGTGGAGACAGGATCTTGGCCCCCTTTCAGTCTGAGGATTCGAAGAGGTAAGAAGTCACTAGTGGCTGCTCCTTTGTTTCTCTTCTTTCAGGTTATTACCCTGATATTTGACTCCTGGTTTGTATTGATAAGACTAATAAGGATCATGCTTCAACCTGGCATCAGACTCCCTGAAGTCTTGATCCAGGTGGATGAAATCAATCTGAACTGGATTTCTCATTCTCACCTCTTCACAGTTCGGTTTCCCATCATGAGCACCTGCAGGGTCCCATTCACCCCTAAGCACCGTATACAAACTTAATGAGAAACAAAGCAATCCTTTAAAGAGCACAGAAGTCTAATGGCATGAAGCTGTTCCAGAGCACACAGTATACAGTAAAACCTTTCTTTTTAAAATTATACTTATTTTATTTTGCATGTATGTGGGCATACTCCTGCCACAGCACTCACATGGAGATCAGAGGACAACTTCCAAGTCAATTCTCTCCTTCCACTTTGTGGGTTCCAGTGACTGAATGCAGGTAATCAGGCTTGGCAGCAAGCACCTTTATTGAATAAGTAATCTTGCCAGCCTCTCAATTCATTTTATGAAGTTAATATAAATTCTCAAAGCCAACACAATTCATAGGCAGAAAGCTACAGATCAATCTTTCTTACATTGTTTGATCTTACACCAGTGTGTGAGATTCTAAGCCAATTCTAAATAGACTCTGATAGTACTTTAAAAGAATAATGCATCATAACCAAGTGAAGTTTGTTACTGGAATTCAAAGCCAACTTGGTATCAGGAAACTGAGGGGAAATGTTATGTGGTCATCTCCACTGATGTAACTTACTCCTTGTCCCCAGTACTGGGTACTGAATGCAAGGTTTAATACATGCATTTTATTTTGCCACTAAGCTATTTCCCTGGTGCTCCCCTTCCTTCCTTCCTTTTCTTTTTGAGACAGGCACTAACTGTTAAGGTGGCAATTTATTTACTTATTTAGAGACAGGGTCTCACTATGTAGCCTTGATTGGCCTGGAACTCACTATGTATACCACAGCCTGGCCTCATACAAACAGATCCACCTGCCTCTATCTCCTGAGTGCTGAGATTAAAGGTATGCTAGGCTTGGGCTAGCAATGTGTAACTCAGGCTGGCCTTGAAGTCTTGATCCTGTTGCCGTAGCCTCCAGTATATCTGGATTATATGTCTACCTCATCTGGCTGACTTAACCATTCGTTCTTGATGATAATTTTTCTAAATTTCAAAAAAATATACAAATAGCTAGGCAGTGGTGGCACACACCTTTAATCCCAGCACTAGGGAGGCAGAGGCAGGGGGATCTCTGAGTTTGAGGCCACCCTGGTCTACAGAGCAATTTCCAGGACAGCCAGGGCTACACATAGAAACCCTGTCTCAAAAACAAAACAAAATAAAACAAAAAACAAATGCGCTCTTAACATGACAAATTCTATTTTCTCAGCACAAAAGTGAGGGCTAGTGTGGGGTAAGATCTCATTTTTTTTTTTTCCGTTTTTTTTTTTTTTTTTGTTTTGTTTTGTTTTTCGAGACAGGGTTTCTCTGTGTAGCTTTGCGCCTTTCCTGGAACTCACTCTGTATTTTGTTTTGTTTTTCGAGACAGGGTTTCTCTGTGTAGCTTTGCGCCTTTCCTGGAACTCACTCTGTAGTCCAGGCTGACCTCGAACTCAGAGATCCTCCTGGCTCTGCCTCCCAGTGCTGGGATTAAAGGCGTGCGCCACCACCGCCCCGGCCACAATCTCATTTTTAATAGTGACAAGAAAGTTAAAATCTTTAAGAATTAACTAAGAGAATGGTCAAGATATAAAAGAAAACCTGAAAGTACTTGTACCAGGGTTTTGAGAGACAGCTCACTGGTAAGAGCACCTGTGGCTCTTGCAGGGGTCTTGGGTTCGATTCCAAGCACTCACATGGTGGCTTGCAGCCATCCACAACTCTAGTTCCAGGGGATCTGAAGCCCTCTTCTGACTTCTTTGGGCACCAGGCACATACACGGTATACTTACATACATAAAATACATGCAGGCAAAATATTTGTATTCATAAAACAGTTTTTAAAATACTTATGAAGGACAAACTATTGAAGTCATGGATAAAATAATACCCTCATGGGTAAAGATTCACATGTGTCAGTTCTCCCTAACTTACAATTTAATAAGACAATCTGACTCTAAGGTTTGTAGGAAAACTGAAAAATCAGATTAGAGAAAGGGATTGAGTCCTAAGAGATAAAAACATGTTATTAGAAGCTAGGGAAATGGCTCAGTGAGTGGGAGTGGTTGCTGTGTGCTGGGGATATAGCGCTCTGTAGAAATAAAATGCTGACTGGCCAGTGGCCAGGCAGAAAGTATAGACGGGACAAGCAGAGAAGAGAACAGGAAGGCTGAGGAAGGAGACGCTGCCAGCCACCACCATGAGTTCCAGTGAGCCACGAGCCATGTGGCAAAATATAGATTAATAGAATTTTTTTTTTCTCGAGACAGGGTTTCTCTGTGTAGCTCTGCGCCTTTCCTGGAACTCACTTTGGAGACCAGGCTGGCCTTGAACTCACAGAGATCGGCCTGCCTCTGCCTCTCGAGTGCTGGGATTAAAGGCGTGCGCCACCAACGCCGCCCGGCAGAAATAGGTTAATTTTAGAAGAACTAGATAACAAGAAGCCTGCCACAGCCATACAGTTTGTAAGCAATGTAAGTCTCTGTGTGTTTACTCGGTTGGGTCTGAGTGGCTGTGGGACTGGCGGGTGAGAGAGATTTGTCCTGACTGTGGGCCAGGCAGGACTGGAGAAAACTTCAGCTACAGCTATGCAAGCATGAACATTGGAATCCAAATCCCCAGCACCCACATAAAAAGCTGGGCATGTCCGTATGTGCACCTCTAACTCTAGCACTGCAGGGTGGACACAGGAGGATCACTGTGGCTTGCTGGCTACCAGTCAAGCTTCAGGGTCTGAGAGACTTTTTCTCAAAGGAATGAGGTAGAGAGTGACAGAGCAGGACATCCAAAGTCCTCTCTGACTTCTAGGAGAGAATGGTTCTGTGCTCTACCTTCCACAATGTAATACACACATTAACAAACACTGACACACACATTATATTCTCAATAGTTAAAACTACTATGACAACTTATACAAGTGGATGGAAGAGTAACTAAATTATGGAATTTTAATATCTCATAAAGGTGAAGAAAAATGATTTCTTTTCCTTATATGATATTGGAACAAGGTAGTCATCTAGAAGAATAATAAAATTAGATCCATTTCTCCTGCTACACAATAAGATAATTCCAAACAGACCAAAAACTTCAAATATAATAGATGAATCTCTACATTTTAATATTATAGAAGCACAGAACAAATATTTGTAACCTTGGAGTGAGAAAGTTTTTGTTTGTTTTTTTTAAATGACTCAAAATCTAAAGCCCTGTAAGACTGCTCAAATACAAACAAATATCTGGTCATGGTAGCTGATACCTTTAATTCCAGCACTTGGGAAGCAAAGGCAAATGGACATCTGTGAGTTCAAGGCCAGCCTGATCTACATAGCAAGTTCCAGGCCAGCCAAGGCTACATAGTAAAATCTCATCTCATAAAAACAAAAAACAAAACAAAACAAAAAAATAAAATTCTGCAAGAAAGAAAAGTTGGTGGGGGACATCAAAACAAATGACAATAGAAGAGGGAAAAACCCACCTGCTATCATTACCACCAAAAGAAAAGCGAATCTCAGGCTGAGGGGGCTCTCTTACCCAGCATAAGCACAGCCCTGCCTTCAAACCCCAGCACCACAACAAAAGAAAAAGCAAATGACAGGGGTAGGGTAGGGTTGAGGGGAGGTATGTGTAGGCATGTAAATTATATGTACATGTATTTACATATAAAATGATCAACAATTTGAACCAATTATTGTGTCTAAAAATGGGCACAGGCAATGATTAAAAATTCAAGAATACCAGGTGATTCCAATGAAAAGACAAGTTGAGTTTGTATCTGCATAATAATAAAGCTGATTGGTGATGAAGACACCAGACCTTCTGAGATCTGTAAGGCAGCCTGTTGGGAATTCTAAGAACACCAGAAAGGGTCAAATAAATAATTTACTTTGGAGGTTTTATCTATGCTTCTATTCCCTTCCAAAACCACAAACAGCTGAGAAATTCACCCCTTCATCTATTTTTGGTTCCTCCTATGGAACCAATAAAAAGTTCATCCATATTTCATATATTTGACACAACTGACAAAGACATGACTCATGGTGATGACTTTTTGTGACAGTCTTCCTATGTAGTTAGTACAGACTGGCTCTGGACTCAATAAGTGCCCAGGCTCATGATCCTCCTGTCTCAACCAAGTGCTGGTATTACAGGCTGACCCCCTACATGGCCAAATGCTTTTCTATCAAACAGATCATTAGCTAACCTACATGCCAAATGCAGCTTGCCAAAGCAAAATATCTTGTTGTAAACTGAGCTCAAAATAACTTCTTTTAAAGTAAAAGCTTGGCCAGTGAGAGGACACAGCAGGTAAGGGCACAAGCCTGGTGACCTGAGTTCAATCTCCTCACATGGTAGAAGAGTACTAACTCCCTCCTCCAGCCTCCATACACACACCATGGCACTCACACGTCCACATACACACATATCATAAATGTTTAAAAATTTTAAGTAAAGTTTATGGACTCAGGGATAGCACAGTGGTTTAGTGCTTGCCTAACACATATGAGGTATTAGGTTCAATTCCAGTACTGCCAAAAAAAAAAATTAAAAGAAGTTTATTTCTAATTCAGTCCTTCTAGTTGAAACTAAGTCTTTCAAAAAACCCAACTTTTATTTGTATTCTGTAGAATCAACAGACCTGTTTAAGAACTCTCTGACCACTTTCAGAAAAGGTAGTCAATAGGACCCCTCTCCATTCCTCCCAGGACCTGGACAAAAAGGGAAAAGAACAAAGAAGAAGAAGAGAAACATCAGAAAACACTAAATAAACCCAGTAAATAAACAGACTTATTTAGTAAATAAACTAAGTAAATGTTGATGACTGGCTAAATTCCATCTATTATTATTTCTGTTAATTTATTCTAGAAAAAGGTGTAAGAAATGACTTAGTACAGTGGTTTTTTTAGCAAATAAACTTTATTATCACCAAGAATGCTCAAGGTGTTTTTTAAAATATTTATTTATTTATTTATTTATTATGTATACAGTATTCTGTCTGCATGTATACCTGCAGGCCATAAGAGGGTGCCAGATCTCATTACAGATGGTTGTGAGCCACCATGTGGTTGCTGGGATTGAACTCAGGACCTCTGGAAGAATAGTCAGTGCTCTTAACCACTGAGCCATCTCTCCAGCCCAACATACTTAAAATACAGACATATGATGGGAATGTCTTTCTGTATGCTGTGAATATATGTGGCTCTGATTGGTTGATAAATAGAATGCTGATTGGCCAGTAGCCAAGCAGGAAGTATAGGTGGGATAAACAGACAAGAATTCTAGGAAAAGGAAGGCTGAGGAGGAGATGCCAGCCAGCCAGGGAGCAGCATGTAATGGCACACAAGTAAAGCCATGGAAAATGTGGAGACATATAGATTAACAGAAATGGGCTGAGTTTCAGTGTAAGAGCTAGTCAGTGGTAGGCCTGAGCTTATGGCCAAGAAGTTTTAATTAATATAAGCTTCTGTGTGTTTACTTGGGGGACTCGAGTGGGAAAGATTTCTCCCTGACCATGGGCCAGGCAGGACACAGAAAAACTTGAGTTACAGACATACTGAGGACAGTCTGGGCTACACAACGTATTCTAGGCTGGTCTGTGAACTGCGTTGAGACTGTCTCAAAAGAAAGAGAGAGAAAGAAGAAGGGCACAGGAGGAGAAAAAGGGAGAGAAGGGTAAAGGAAAAAAGAGGGAGAGAGAAAGGCAGTATGTATTTGTCCAATGTAGAAATCGTAAACGATTTATAGTATGCATTGGAGTTTCATAGGTTAGCTGATTTATCCCAGCTTGCCCAGACAGCCCCTATCAGTGTTCTTGTTTTAAACTATAAATATGTTGGTAACGTCATACATTTTAATTTAGCATTTACTTTATATTCTGAAATAATTATCTTATGACAACTGTAAAAACTAACAAATAAGAGAAACACAGATGTCCCAAACCCACAATTGTGCTCTAGTACAGCTACTTTACCATCCATACATGGAAATGAAATAAAGCCTAGAACCCATGCAAACATTTCCTAACCTTAGTAACCATTTTTCAAATACTAGGATCAGCTGGTGTACATGTTCAGAATAACATAGCTTTATTTACTTTTTATTTATTTAGACAGAACCTAGCTGTGTAGCCCAGGCTAGCCTAAAGCTCTTACTTATCCTTCCCACCTCAGCCTTCCAATTATTAGGGTTACAGGTGTGTGCCACCACGTCTGACTTTGACTAACACCAGCTACACTAACACATAATGTGATATGGAAAGAGAGAAGCTGACCATGCCAGGGTGGCTTTGCCTTGAGTTCTCCTTGTGGACTTCCCATAAAGGTATATGAGCTGAGGCAAGACACAATTTATATGAACCAATGATTCTTTAAAGTTATATCATATAATGAGAGGCCAATCATCAGCTATAGCTAAACAGGTTTTCAGGTTCCTTTTAGGTTTTAAAACATTCAAGGACTATAAACAAAAAATTTATTCTTCACCAGTGTGAGTGGGTATGGAATTATGATAAATTTTGTCAAAAAATTAACTCACAGTTCAAAATAAAACTGAAATATACATTTGAGTATTTATAGAAGGAAAAATTCAACTTTTAAAAATATACATAAACAATACTGTAAGATTATTTATAATGGTAAGACTCAGAAATATCCACTGAAGTACATAAACAGATTATGCAGTTAATAAAAATTAATTAGATATTATTTTATGATTTGGAAAGAAATGTATTATATCCTAAAAGGAAAAATTTTTTTTAAAAAAATAGAAGTTGTAGGCTGGATGGTGGTGGCACATGCCTTTAGTCCCAGCACTTGGGAGGCACAGCAGATCTCTGAGTTCATGGCCAGCCTGGTCTATAGAGCTAGTTCCGGGATAGCCAGGGCTACACAGAAAAACCCTGTCCCAAAAAGGAAAAGTTTTTAACTCCAGAGCTTTATGTTTTACAGATTTGTCTACTCAAAAAAAAATTCCCTCCCCCTCTCTCTCTCCCTCCCTCCCTTCCTCCCTCTCTTTCTTGGCAGATACGGAGTTGAGGATATGGCTCAGTTGTTGGGTGCTTGTTATTTTTCCAGTAGACTGGAGTCCAGTTCCCAGCACCCAGGTCAGACAGCTCACAACTTCCTATAACTCCAGCTCCAGGGATCCAGTGCCCTCTTTTGGTGTCTGCAGACAGGTAGGCAGGCAGGCAGGCAGACATACAGAAACAGACA